GCATACTAGATGTTCTTTACCAGCTTCTTTAAACCCTTCAGGTTGAACCATGTAAACTTCTTCAAGCAGACTACCATTCAAGAAAGCAGTTTTAACATCCATCTGGTGCAACTCTAAATCAAAATGAGCCACAAGAGCCATCACAACTCTAAATGCATCATTGGATGAAACATGAGAAAATGTTTCTTTATAATCAATACCTTCTTTTTGAGTATAACCCTTAACAACCAACCTTGCTTTAGAACGGCCTATGTTTCCCTTGGAGTCTCTTTTAGTTTTAAACACCCATTTGCAACCAATAGGTCTAAAACCTACAGGCAATTCAACTAACTCCCACACTCCATTGTGCTCCATAGAGCACATTTCATCTTTCATTGCTTCACGCCATTTATCAACAAATGGAGAGAAAATAGCTTGAGCGTATGATAAAGGATCAGCCAGCTCTCCAGTATCACTGAGATTTTCAGTCACATACATGATAAAATCATCAAAGATGGCAAACTTTCTTTCTCTTTGTGACCTACAGAGTGGTTCATTTTGAACATTTTGCTCAGGAACTGTGAGATCTGCGTCGTTGTTCCCTTGATTCTCCCCCTCATGAATAAGTTGGTTTACCACCTTTTCATGTACAACAGGTACATGGACAATGACTTCCTTCTCTTTCAATACAATTTCCTTACCACATGAACAATCACAATCACAATCACAAATATCATGCTCAAGAAATTTTGCATTAATAGACTCAACGATTCTAGTGCCACGCCCAGGACAGAAAAACCTAAAACCTTTAAAGTGATAAGGATAGCCTATAAAGAAACAACTGGTAGTTTTAGGATCGGTTTCCTTTTCTGCGGGTGAATAAATATGAACTTCAGCTGGACATCCCCAAATGTGAAAATGATTCAAGCTAGGTTTTCGGGTTGTCCATAGTTCAAAGGGAGTTTTCAAGACAAATTTTGTAGGAACTCTATTCAGGATATAGCTAGCTGTTTTTAAGGCTTCGCCCCAAAGAGACTCAGGTAGGCTAGCCCTTGACATCATACTTCTCGTCATTTCCATGAGAGTACGATTTCGTCTTTCAGCCACACCATTCTGCTCAGGAGTACCTTGCATGGTATATTGTGCTACTATCTCATATTCTAGCAAAAATAAAGCAAACAGCCCATACATTGACCAGACTCATCATATTTTTCATAGTACTCACCACCACGGTCAGACCTCACTATCTTAATGGACTTCCCAAGCTGTTTTTCAACTTCAGTCTTGTAAATTTTAAACTTATCAAGTGCTTCAAATTTTTCTTTTAAAAGATATATATTATAGTACCTTGAAAAGTCATCAATAAAAGTAATAAAATACTTATGATTGGTCAAAGTAGGTACATAAGGTCCACTAATATCAGTGTGAATTATTTCTAAGAGTTTAGAGCTCCTAGTGGAACCATTTCTCTTAACCTTGGTTATTTTATCCTTAATACAATCCACACAAGTTTCAAAATCTTTTGGATCAAGAACAAGTAAAATATTTTCCTTTATCAATCGTTCAATTCTTTCTTTAGAAATATTACCAAAACGCCTATGCCATAATAGGTAAGACGTTTTACTCATAGCAGACCTTTTATGGGCAATATTTTCAACATGCATTGCAGAAAAAATTTCATTCAATCCATTCAAGTGATATAGACCATCACTTAAAAAGGCATCAACAACAACATGTGAATCATAAGAAATTTTAATAATACCATTATTTTGTTGAAATGAATAACCAGCTTTGTCCAAAAGGGAAACCGAAACTAATTTCCATCTCATAGACGGTACAAAAACGGTATTTTCTAAACGAATATTAGAATTATTTTTAAAGGGTAAAATAAATGTCCCTATAAATTCTACTTTTGCTTTGAGTCCATTGCCCACAACAACACTGACTTCATCCTCTTTTGGCTCCCGTCTTACTAGATCCTGCAAGTCATTGGTTATATGAACAGTTGCACCACTATCCAACCACCAAGAATTTAAAGGAACATGAACAAGACTAGTTTCAAAGCAGACAAAAGCCAAAAGATTACCTGATTTCTTTTTCAGAGGACAACCAGATTTCTTATGACCTACTTATTGCAATTCCAACACTTGATTTCTTTCTTAATTACAGCTTGAGGACCAAGAGGATTATAAGACTGACCTTGGTTAACACCAGGTTTATTAGTATGACCACTATTACCACCTGGATGATGAGACTAACCATGTTTCCTTTTGTAAAATTTAGGTCTACCTTTTCTTTTATAAGAGGGATAATCAGCTGATCTAGACGAACTAACAAAGTTCACTACACCCTCAACTTTCTCCTTTTGGATCCTTCCTTCCTCTACCACACAAACAGTAATAAGCTCATCAACACTCAACTTATCATTTTGTGCATTATAGGTTGTCTTAAGTTGGTTAAACTGCTCAGGAAGGGACCTTAGAGATTGGTGAACAATAAAATCATCGGTAATGGTTACACCTAAATTGTTTATTTTGGTAGCAATGTTAACCAATTTTATAATATGATCACGGACATTACCTACAAGGTCATACTTTATGGTAGACAGGGAATCAATCAGGCTACCTATCTCAACTTTATCAGATTCTAGGAATTTCTGTCCAATGGCACTCAAGAAATCTTTTGCATTCCCATTATCCTTAATTGAACCTTTTATGTGATCAGAAATAGATCTTTTAATGATCATGATACTCAATTTGTTAGCCTTCATCTATTTCTTATACTTAGCCTTTTCATCAGCAGTGCTGGTAGTTATGGGTTCAACGAGTTTTTGTTCAATCAATGCAAAGTCGAGGTCCATCAATCCTAAAACTATTTTAATATCCTGTTTCCACTTCTTGCAGTTGCTACTAGTTACAGTTTCAATGGAATTCAACTGAGTAGTCATGTTGTTAACAGTTGTATAAGCAAACAACACAAAATTAGATAAAACTATGGGCAGGAATATAAATCAAAAGAGTCAAAGAATCCATTACACCCCTCCTTTGGGTAGAAGATGCAATTGTCTCCCCTTTTAAAAAAAAAAGGAGTCCAAGGCATTCATTGCGTCCTCACCTTTAGGCAAGAGATACAAAACCTCCCCTTTATTATCCAAGAGTACAAGACATACATTGTGTTCTTCCTTTAGGTAAGAGACACAAAACCTCCTCTGACAACAACTTATCCTTAGTATTAATTTAATGTCACTAGTATCAAAAGAAAAATCTCCAACACTAGTGCACACTTGTAAAGGAAAATTTGGACATGGTACATTGAGAATATTTTAATGACTCAAATAAACAGACCTTGGTGGAAACTATCTATTAATCATAACTCTCAATCCATGTATTAAATGATCTCACATGTATGTAGTATTAAGAACTTTTCAGTGACTCAAAATAAATAGACCATTTTGGTGACACTATTTATTAATCACAGTTTCTTAGTTATACACATCAATACATGTGATAAAATAACACCCATATAATTTAAACCTTTCTATCTAGTTATTAATTTCATTCTTCGACTAAAATTATGATTCCATCTTTTTGCGTATAGCAAATATTTCAAGTTACAGAACCATATGCTTATAACATGAGCAAATAGTATGTTAAATTGAACACATGCACTTGTTATTTGCTTAAGCTTTTGGCATACAACATTTGGCTGATTATAACTATGACAGGGTTTGATGTTTTTAACATCAAAATTTTCATCAGGCAGCATATTTCTAAGTATTGATACTTATATTTCTTATGTGAGAAAATATCCAGAAAAGTTTCATAAAAGCTAACAATTCCTCATTCGGTTGCAGGTATGAGCTTCCAGATTCACATCCTCTTTAAAATTTAACAAAATTGTAGCCGCCAGAAAACCCTTTTTCCTTTTTACCGATGCTTCCGCCAACAACAAACATCAAGGTTTTACCAAAATTTGTTATCATATTTTATATATAAAAATCAATCACAGCTTCCAGCATATTCAATCAAACACAGTCGCTAAATGCTGATGAATTAACTGTTTTAGCGAGAAACAGTGTCAAACTGTTGTCGTCTAAAATTTTTACGATAGTTCTTTTCGTTTTAAAACTCAAGATTACATCTTGATCTTAATCTCGAAACTATGGTTGCTCTGATACCAACTGTTAGATTATTAATTCGCAGCCATAGCAGATATTAAGAAACAATCATACCGATATAAAATCATAATCTTGAGTTAGAGTCTAAGGAAGCGTACCGTTAAACTCCATAGATTCAGCAGCGACAACAAACAACTATTAAGCCTGAGACCAACTTCCACGATCCACTAGCTACGCGCTCTCACAGTCCAGAGAACTTGACTGATGGGACGTCTACCGTTACCACGTATTCAAGAGGCAGAATACACTATGATTTTCTAATAGCTAAGGTAAGGGGGGTTGACCTCTATTTATAAAGAGTGCCTATCCATCACAGACCAATAGTTATTGGGCCTCACTTATCCACACACAAAATATTTAATATTAGGCATTTTATTTATCCACCACTTGGACCACTTCGCTATCTTTTCAGGCTATAACCAATTAACGTAAGTCCAAATTCCAACATCTCTTGCATTTTTCAATTTAGATCTTTGATTATTGTTTGTTCTAGTCATTTTAACTACTAACTACTGATTATGAAAATATTAAAATTTTCAAACTAAGCGGAAAAGACATTTCAAAATAGAAAAGTTTATCTATTTAAAATTCATTTTTACCTGTAAAATAGAAAGAGAAACTCTTATTAAAAATAGGAAAAAATATATTTCTCATTTCAACATATATGGGAATTGCAAGTGTTCTTATTTCTTTTCCGTTTTGCCTTTTTTTCTTCTTTTCTTTTCCTTCACATGCAAAGCATATGAAATCTTGTTTTTTTCGTCTGTGAAATAAGAATGTTTGGAATACATAAAAAGGAAAAATGTTTAACAACGACAACAAACCCGATAGTGAAAAAATCTTTAAAACGATGGAAAAGGAAATTTATTTCACCCGGGTATTATAAATGATTTAAAAGGGAAAGTTGTAGGACGGAATATGAATAAGAAAAACTTTTAGGGGTGGCAGTGCATTTACATTAATAACGACGTTCTTGGATGAGTTCACTCGCCGGTGAACGGAGAAACGAAACAACAAATACAAGAAGAGCTCTCTTACTTGTAACCGAAGAAGACCAAAGAAAAATGGAGAATCCATGTGTAGAATAAGGAATTATGCAAGGACTTCATCACCAGCAGCAGCAATTAGCGGCGCTTCTCACCGTCGCTTTACCCAAAGAAGATCCTTCGAAATCCACTTCTACTTCAACAACTTCAGCTGCTGAAGATGACGAGTCTTCTCGTGTAGCCGCTATAACTTCTCTCAAACGCGCCATTCTTTACCCTCCAAACTCTCTCCTCATCACTCACTCCGCTTCTTTCCTTGCCCAAGGCTTCTCTCAGCTCCTCTCCGACAAGTATGCCTTTATCTCTCTCTCTTTTTCTGCACTTTATTTACTTGTTCTTTTATATGCATGCCATGTGTTCGATGAATTTCCCAAAAGAAATTTAATTTGCTCTTTGCCATCTCTCTTAGTGCTATTTGAATATCTCTCTCTCTTTTTCTGCACTTTATTTACTTGTTCTTTTATATGCATGCCATGTGTTCGATGAATTTCCCAAAAGAAATTTAATTTGCTCTTTGCCATCTCTCTTAGTGCTATTTGAATATCTCTCTCTCTTTTTCTGCACTTTATTTACTTGTTCTTTTATATGCATGCCATGTGTTCGATGAATTTCCCAAAAGAAATTTAATTTGCTCTTTGCCATCTCTCTTAGTGCTATTTGAACAATACTGCCATTTGCTTATGAGGAATCATATTACACAATCATTTTTGACACAAGCTATCATATGGGTATTTTGATCACACACCATTAAATTGGCAGCCTACTTAACTTAATGTCATACAACATCAATTTTCTTAATAATTGTTACTATGATTATGAAATCAGACTGTCTGATGAATATTTTGCTTGGCATAAAAATTGCTGCTCAGGTCATATTCAGTGCGTCAGGCAGCAGCTACTGCTCATGGCGCTTTGTGTTCTGTACTGTGTTTAATCTCGATAGCTCCAAATGGAAGGCAGAACCATGTCATTCTTGGCAGTTTGGTTGATCGGTTCATTGGTTGGGCATTGCCATTGCTCAGCACTATAGCAGATGGGACAACAGATCTTGCATTGGAGGGCTTGCGTGAATTTCTTAATGTTGGGGATGTTGCTGCAGTTGAGAGGTTTGCGTTGCCAATTCTCAAGGCTTGCCAAGAGCTTCTTGAGGATGAGAGAACCTCCTTGAGCTTACTGCGCAGGCTTCTCGCTGTTTTAACACTAATCTCCTTGAAGTTCTTTAGATGCTTTCAGCCCCATTTTGTTGATGTTGTTGATCTCCTCCTTGGGTGGGCGATGGTACCGGACCTTGCAGAATCTGATAGGCGCGTTATTATGGATAGTTTCCTGCAGTTTCAGAAATATTGGGTGACTAATATGCAGTTCCCATTGGGATTGCTCTCGAAGTTTCTAGGTGACATGGACGTGCTGCTTCAGGATGGAAGTCCTGGTAGCTCCCAGCAATTCCAAAGATTACTTGCATTATTGTCTTGTTTTTCTACAGTGTTACAGTCCACAGCATCCGGTTTGCTGGAGATGAATATGCTTGAGCAGATAAGTGAACCTCTTTGTAAAATGGTTCCTGTTCTATTAGAATGCATGTCTATGATGGGAAAAAAGTTTGGCTGGTCAAAATGGATTGAGGATTCTTGGAGATGCTTGACTTTGCTTGCTGAAATTTTGAGTGAACGGTTTGCAACATTTTACCCCATTGCCGTTGATATCTTGTTTCAGAGCTTGGAGATGGCAAGTAAAGACCTGTCTACGGGGATGAAGAAGCTTGATTCCTTTCAGGTTCATGGGGTTCTTAAAACCAATTTACAGTTGCTGTCTCTGCAAAAGCTTGGTCTTTCTCCATCATCTGTTCACAAGATATTACAATTCGGTGCGCCTATATCTCAGCTGCGTTTGCATCCCAACCACTTAGTGCCAGGAAGTTCGGCAGCTACTTATATTTTTTTGCTTCAACATGGAAACTTTGAGGTTGTTGAAAAATCAGTGATTGTGCTGCTTGAGGAGCTGGATTTGTTAAGGTGCATGCTCAGACAAAAATCAGACCTGCAGAATCCGGGGTATGATGTCACGGTTCCTAAATCTTACTCGAAATCCGAGCTATTTGCATTGATTAAGTTTGATTTGAGGGTGTTACTTAGTTGTGTTTCTTTAGGCACTGGAGCTAGCATGATTGGCCAAATGGAAATCGACACTCTGTATGTTAATAGGTCAGGAAAGTTAATATCGAGCATTATTGGCAATCTTAACCCTTTTGAGTCACCTGTCCGAGGGCTTGTTGAATTGCAAGTCACAGTTCTCAAGACGTTAGAAAGACTAGCGGCACTTGAATTTTTAAGCAAGTGTTCTCTAAGGAAACAAGTTACAGCCACAGTTTCACAGGAAATAACACCTGAGAAACTCAAAAAGGTTGAGAATGAGAGGAATGAACTTCCTGGGCTAGTCCTACAGCATCTGGAAATGTATGGTATCCTTCTTATAAGAGCTCTTCATGTCACTTCTCCTCTAGCAGTTAAAATAGAAGCACTACAGTGGATACATGAATTCTGTGGAAAAGTTGTTGGCATATATGAGAATGAGAAGGTATTATATTTTCCATATGAAGTATTTGGATATGTGGACGTTGTCCAGGATTTGCTGTTCTCCGTTCTGGATGCGGCGTCAGATAGAGAACCAAAATTGAGATCTCTTGTTGCATTAGTCCTTCAGATGCTTCTACAAGCAAAGCTTATTCATCCTACACACTTTATAATTACTACTCAGGCGGTTCTTGAAAAACTTGGTGATCCAGATGAAGATATAAGAAGTGCATTTGTCAGGTTGCTTTCAAATGTGCTACCTATTACAGTGTATGCATGTGGTCTCCGTGATAATGTAGCTTCTACTACATGCTGGCCAGGTGTTCTTAGATTTAACAGTAGGTCGAACCTGCACTGGAAGCAACTTTTTGCACTTAAGCAACTGCCTCAGCAACTTCATTCACAGCAACTTGTTACCATACTTAGTTACATTGCACAGAGATGGAAAGTGCCTCTTTCTTCTTGGATCCAGAGGCTCATTTGTAGCTGCGGGCGCCCCAAAAATGTTACCTTGATTCAGCCTGAGGAAACAGCTAATTGCAGCTCGAATGGGCTATTGTGGGATACCAAAGTTGACGAAGATATTCTTGAGAGAATTTGCTCTGTTAACACCCTTGCTGGTGCATGGTGGGCAATACATGAAGCTACTAGATATTGTATTACCACTCGCCTTAGGACGAACCTTGGTGGTCCAACTCAAACGTTTGCAGCATTGGAGCGTATGCTTCTTGATGTTGCTCATGTCTTGCAGCTTGATGCTGATCAAAGTGATGGAAACTTAAATATTATTGGTTCTTCTTATGCTCACTTGTTACCTATGAGATTGTTGCTTGATTTTGTTGAGGCTCTTAAGAAAAATGTGTACAATGCATATGAAGGATCAACTGTTTTACCCAGTGCTTCTCGGCAAAGTTCCTTGTTCTTTCGGGCAAATAAGAAGGTTTGTGAGGAGTGGTTTTCTCGGATAAGTGAGCCTATGTTGAATGCAGGATTGGCGCTCCAATGTCATGATGCTACGATTTATTATTGCGCATTGCGCTTGCTGGAGCTGAGGAGCCTAGTGACTTCAGCTATAAAAGACAGGTCTAGAGTGGAAGTGACTGAAAATATCCACAATGTCAGAGCCAGGTATGCTGCAGATATCTTGAGGGTTTTACGGCACATATGTTTGGCTTTCTGTAAAACTCATGAGCCAGAGGCATTAATTGGTATCCAGAATTGGGCTACAGTAGTTTTCTCTCCCTTGTTTA